CCGCGGGGCTGTTGCCCCTCCAGGGCGTCACGCCGGCCCAGGTCGCCGCCATGACGCCCCAGCAGCAGCTCCAGCTCCAGCAGCAGATCATGATCCAGCAGTTCCAGATGCAGCAGCTCGCCGCGCACCAGCAGCAGCTCGCCGCGCAGCAGCAGAGCGCCGCGGCCGCGGCGGCGGCCGCGGGGACCCCGCTCCCGCCGGGCGCGCCGGGCGCCTTCCCCCCGCCCGGCCAGGCGCCGCCGGCCGCGGCCGCCGCGGCCCCGGGCCGCGCGCCGCCGCGCGGGCCGCCGACGTTCCCCCCGCAGCAGCCGCCCGGCCAACCGTCCCAATGACCGGTTCGTCGGGCGCGCTGTTAGCGAAGTGCTCGCGCAGGGTAAGCCCATCTCTCACTCATAACTCCGAGTCGATTTGAAACCGCAGGGTAAGCCTAGCTCACTCATAGCTCCGAGGCTACTCCTTGTCGATTTGAAACTGCAACTTGACCTTCAACTTGAAGCGCCAACGGTGAAAAGGTCAGCCGTCTGAGCTCGGCAGCGCGGCGCGTAGCTGCGTGAGGCCCTCGCAACGGTTCGGACACGCAGCATCCTCGCAGCCTCGCGCAGCAGCGCCGTCCTCGAAATCCCTGTTGCGCGCAGCGATTTCTTTCTTGACGCCCGACGGTCCCCGCGCCATGTCTAACGGTTTGGATCACACGCCCCCAAACCCGGAGGTTGGACTCCAAGCCAGCATCGGCGGGTACGAACAAGCGCGCATGACGGCACTCGCGTCCATCGGCAACCCGACGTTCGCTCCGCCTTCGTACCCCCGCACGACTACGTACCCGACGGGGTCGCCCGCGCCTTCGCCGAGCCTCGCGCCGCCCGCGGACCCCGCGCCCGGGGGCGGCCCGCATGACGTGCCGCGCGGCGGCGTCGCCCCGGCGCCGCGGCCCTTCGACGCCGCGCCCGGCGTCGTCGGGGCCGTCGCGCCCCCCGTCGCCGCGCCCGGCGTCGTCGGGGCCGTCGCGCCCCCCGTCGTGGCCCCGCCGAAGGCGCCCGTGTGCCCGCCGGCGCCGACGAAGCCCCCGCGGCGGCGGATCTTAAAGGCCCAGCTCCCGGGCAAGCCGCCGAAGCCGCCGTCGACGCCGCCGCGCGGCACGAAGCGCGACGTGCCCGGCGCGCCGCGGAAGCCGCGGCCGGACGCGGCGCGGCCGCCGACGCCGCCGCGGCCCCCGGTCGAGGCGCCCCGGTCGCGGGCGCCGTACCGCGCGACGCTGAGCTCGACGGACCGGCGGCCGTGCGCCGGTCCGTCGAGCCGCGGCTTCCCGTACCGCGCGACCGACGAGCTGGTCACCTTCCCGAGCGGCAAGCGAGTGCACGAGGTCTTCCATTCGATCGCGATGATGCCCGAGTACCGCGCGTTTTCTCCCGACGAGCTGCGGCTGGCGCACTACGACGGGCGGAGGGAGGAAACCCTCGGCGACGCCAACGCGGGCCCCGTCGTCGAGACGAACTTCATGCTCGCGTCCATCACGGCGATGCCCGAGTACCGCGCGTTCTCCTTCGAGGAGCTCCGCATGGCGCACCACGACGCGGCCGTCGGCGGCGTGAACGCGGCGCCCGCGGCGTCCCTCGTCGACGCCGGCGCCGTCGCCGCGCTCCTGGGCGGCGGCGGCCCCCGCTGGGCGAAACGCGTCCAGGTCGCGGCCGTCGCCGTCGTCGCCGGCACCGTCGAGCGCTGGCGCGTCGACGTCTCCGACGGCGCGCACGTGACCGTCGCGTTCGTCGCCGCGGCCGCGTCGCGCAAGGCCGCGGCGCTGCGCGCACGCCGTCATCGCCGTGAGCGACTGGGGCCTGGGCACGCAGGACGGCGCCGAGGCGCTCGTGCTCTTCGACTTCGACCACGTCCGCGACTGCTACGAGGCGATCGGCGCGCCGGAGCGCCGGGGCTTCGTCGAGCCGCCGCCGCTCCGCGGGCCGGCGGCGCCCGGGGGGGGCTTCGGCGCGGCGCCGGGCGGCTTGACCGGCGGCGGGCCGGCCGGCGCGGATCCGCGGTCCCTGCTCGGGGCCGCGGGCGGCTTCACCGTCGGCGCGCCGCCGGGCGCGGATCCGCGGTCCCCGCTCGGCGCCGCGGGCGCCTTCTCCGTCGGCGCGGCGCCGGCCGCGGCCGCGGCCGCGTTCTCGCTCGGCCCGCCGGCGCTCGCGCCGGCGCCGGCCGCGACCTTCTCGCTCGGCGCGGCGCTGACGACGCCGCCGAAGGCGCCGTCGCCGGCCGCGGCCGGGGGCTTCTCGCTCGGCGCGGCGACGACGCCGCGGAAGGCGCGCGTCGGCGCGCGGAGCTTCGTCCCGCGGCGGAAGCCGCGGAGCTCCGCGGCGCGGCGCGAGCGCCCCCCGCCCGCCCGCCCGTCCGCGAGCCCCGCGACGTCGCCGGCGGCCCTCGCGAGCCCCGCGACCGACGCCGCCGAGCCCCGGGAGCGCGCCGCCGTCGTCGTCGGGTGGCCCGCGACGTCGCCGGCGGCCCTCGCGAGCCCCGCGCCGCCGCCGCCGCCGGCCGTCGACGACGACGACGCGGCGGCCGGCGACGACGAGGACGCGCCGGCCGTCGTCTGCGCGAACCTGCTGTCGCCGGACTACAAGAAGCGGACGTTCCTCGTGGCGCCGAACGACTCGCCGACGACCGCGATCCTCCCCGACGACGGCGGCGCGCTGTTTGGCGCCGCGCCCCGGAGGCTCGACGACAGCCTCGGCATGGACCTGCGCTCGTCCGTCGAGGTCGTCGCGCCCGACGCGGACCGGCTCACGCGCGGGGGCATCGCGTCGATCCTCGAGGGCGACGGCGGCGCGGACGCGGCCGGCGGCGTATCGCTCCAGGTGCTCGACGTCGAGCCCCTCGGCGAGGGCGAGCGCGCGCGCCTGTCGCTGAGCGACGGCGCGCAGTGGAGCCTCGCCGTGGCGGCGACGCCGGGCTTCGACGCGGACGTCGCGCCGGACGCGATCATTCGGGTCACGCGGTGCCGCGCGGGGGAGAACGCGCTGACCGGCAAGACGTTCGTCGACGTGCTCGCCTACGAGCTCGTCGAGGCCGCCGCGGCCGTCGGCCGCCGCCTCGGGGCGCCGCGGGAGTACGTCCGGCGCCGCCGGGATCGGAACGACGCGTTCCCGGACATGAGCGACGACGAGCCGGAGCCGGCGGCGTCGTTCGGCTTCTGCGCCGAGCTCGCCGAGGTCGCGGAGCCGCGCGCGGGCGCCGCGGCGGCCCCGGGGCCCTGGCGCGGCGCCGTCGTCGGCGCGTCGCTGGGCGGCCTCGCGGCGCTCCTCGACGGCTTCGCGCGGTCGCCGTCGCGCGCGCAGCGGTGCCTCGACGCTCTGGCCGTCGAGTCGATCCTCGTCTACGCGCGCGACGCCGCGGTCGGCGACGCCGGGGCGCGGCCGGGCGTCGGGCAGCCGTTCCGGGCCGTCGCGGGCGCGCGCGAGGAGGCCGAGGCCGAGGCCGCGCGGCTCTACGCGAGCGCCGCGGCCGCGGCGGACCGCTGGGCCGACGTCGACTCGCTCGTGCTCGCGGCCTTTGGCGTGCTCCTCGCCGTCCAGCGGCTGCCGGGCCTCGCGGCGCCGCCGCCGCGGGGCACGGCGGCGAGCGCGCTCGTCGCCTGCCGGCGCGAGGCGACGAAGGACCGGGGCGCCGCGGCGACGTGGAAGGTCTTCGGTGCGGCGGAAGACGCGGGCGGCGACGCCCCGGAGTTCGTCCACTCGGCGACCTACGTCGGCCCGCGGCCGGGCTACTTCTTCGCGCGCGACCAGTTCTGCCGCATCGGCTACCACCGCGACCGGTCGGCGCTCGCGCCGTCGGCGTCGACCGTGGAGGCGGTCGGCGCGATCCTCGCGAAGCGGCCCGGCGCGGCGCCCGCGGCCGACGACGACGACGAGCCCGCGCTCACGGACTGCGGCGGCTGGAGCCTCTTCGACGAGGACGCGCCCGCGGTCGCGCGCGTCGACGAGCCCGCCGACGACGCGCGCGACGCGCGCGACGACGCGGCCCACTTCGCCGCGTGGCGGTCCGAGGCGACGGCGACGCTGCTCGCGCGCGTCGCCGTCGGCGCCATGCGGCGCGCGCTCCACCGGGCGTCGACGCTCGGCCGGTCGGCCGCCGCGGAGCTCTACGACCGCGCGTTGTCGCTCGCGCTCCCCGAGGTCGGCGAGCCCGCGGTCGCCGTCGTCGCCGGCCGCGAGGCGGCGCGCTACGACGCGGCCGCGCGCCTCGCGCTGCCCCGGGACGCGCTCGTCGCCGCCGGCGCGCTCGAGGCGCTCGCGGCGTTCCCGCTGATCGACGGCGGCGCGGCGCCCGACGACGCGCCCCGGACGACGGGCGCGGCCACGTGGGAGCGCCAGCCCGACGGGTCCTGGACCAAGGACGGCGCCACGGCGAACTGCCTCACGGCCGGGCGCCTCGAGGTCGCGGCCGCGGAGCGCGCGGAGCGCAACACGGTCAAGGCCGTCGTCGCCGCGGCCGCGCTCTGCGCGTCGGGCCCGCTCGCGCGGCGCGCGCGCCTCGAGTTCGAGGTCCACGGCGGCGTCAAGGCGCTGCGCAACCTGTCCGCGTCGCCGCTCTGCCTCGGCGCGCTCAAGGCCTGGGAGCGCGCGTCGCTGGCCGCGGGGCAGGCGGCGGTGCTCGACGCCGTCGGCCGGGGGCCCGCCGTCGCGCCGCTCCTCGCCTTCCTGGACCGGCGCCTCAAGGTCTGGGGCCTGAGCGACGACCTGCGGCGGGCGCGCGACGAGCTCGCGCGGACCGACCGGTCGCCCGAGTCCGTCCACCTCCTCGTCGCGGCCGCGGACGCCGCGGACGACGTCAAGCGGCGCTACGACGCGCACGCGGCCGCCGTCCTCGCGACCTTTGACACCTACGTCTTCCAGGAGCGCGCCACGCTGGCCTCGGACCGCGTCCGCTACGGCATGTCGGTCCCGGGCGGCGCCGTGCGGTCCGTACCGCGGCTCGACGTCTCGCTCGGCGGCGAGGCCCTGGAGGACGCCTACGAAGAGCTCCAGGAGCTCACGTGCCGCATCGAGGACGAGCAGTGCGAGCTCGCCGGCCAGGCGAAGGCGCGCGCGCGGCTCCGCTTCCCCTGCGACGACGCGCTCGTGTCGCTCGGCGACGACCTGCCGCACGGCCGCTTCGCGGAGCTCGGCGCCGAGGTCGCCGCGGGCGCCGCGCGCGTCGCGCTGCACCGGTCGCACCTCGTCGAGCTCGAGGGCCTCGGCGCGCGGCGCTACGGCCTCGGCGCGGCCTTCGCGGCCGCGGGCGCGCCGTCGACGGCGGCCGACGTCGGCGTCTGGGTCGGCGCGGCGAAGCTGTCCTGGCGGCCCTACGACAAGGAGGCCTTCGACGCGACGCTGCTGCCCATCTACGACACGATCGCGCAGCTCCTGCGCGACGTCCGGTCCGTCGCGACCATGGAGGCGGCGGTCGGCGTCGCCGCGCGCGACGGCGTCGCGGCGGCGACGGGCGCGCCCGCGCCGTCCGCGGTCGACGCGATCCTGGCCGAGGTCGCGCACAGCAAAACGTACCCCTGCTCGCCCCGCGGCGCCGACGCGCTCGAGGGCGTCCGGGGCCTCGACGACGCCGCGGGCCTCGCCGCGCGCCTCGAGGCCGCGCGGGCGCACTTCCACCGGAACATGGACCGCCACGCGCGGCTCTCGCGGCGCGTCGCGGAGGCGCGGCGCCGCTACGGCCTCGCGCCGGACGACGCCGTCGTCTGGTCCTACGAAGGCGCGCGCTCGTACTCGACGTCGGCGCTGCTCGTCGCGCGCGAGGGCGCGAACTGGCGCGTCGCCGTCGACTACGATCCCGCCGGCGGCCACTGGCGGCACGCGGCCGCCGTGCGCCAGGTCGACCAGGGCACGTTCGTCGTCGCGCCGTCCATGCTCAGGGCCCTGCTGCCGAACCAGGCGGAGCTCGACCGCGAGGACGTCGCGACGGACGAGGCTTTGGCGAAGCGGTCGACGCTCGTCGCGCTCGTCGAGGCGCGCGTGCGCGCGCGGTCCGTCGACGCGTCGCTCGGGACCATGCGCGCGGCCGCGGCCGCCCTCGGCGACGCGCCGCCGAAGCGCGGCGCGACGTGGCGCGCCGCGCTCGCCGCCTGCGGCGAGCCCGCGCGCGCCGACGCGGCGCTCCTCGAGGCCGCGGCCGCCGAGTGCGCCGCGGAGCTCGAGGACCGCCGGGACCGCTTCCGCGCCGCGCACGACGACCTCGAGTACTTCCGGACGCGCCTCTCGAGCCGCCAGGGCGCGGCGCCGGCGATGCCGGACGTCCTCGACGCCGCGAGCCTGCGCGAGGCCTTCGACAAGGCCGACACGTACCGCGAGGAGTACGAGCTGGAGCGCGACGTCGTGGAGCGCTACGCGCGGCGCGTCGCGGCCCTCTTCGAGGCGCGGGGCGTGCCCCCGGCGAGCCGCGCGAGCCCCTGCGGCTTCTTAGACGACCGCGCGCGGCGCCTCGCCGGCGAGCGGCCCCCGCCGGACGCGTCCGAGGCCTGGGCGGCGCTGCCCTTCCACGACGGCGGCGCGACGCCGGGCTTCGCGCTCGGCGACCTCATCTCCCAGTGCCGGTCGTCGCTGCTCCACTGGACGACGACGTGGCGCGACGTCGTCGACTGCGCGGTCTGCTTCGACCGCCTGCCGCGGGGCGAGACGCTCGGCGCGTGCGTGGCGGGCGTCTGCGGCCACGTCGGCGGCGCCTGCCTGAGCTGCTTCCGCGAGTTCGCGGACCAGCAGCTCGGCGACGCCGCGCGATTCACCGAGGCGGGCCTGCCCTGCTTCGCGCCCCACTGCCGGGCGGCGCTGGCGCCCGCCCAGCTCGGCGCCCACGTGCTGGGCCGGGGCCCGCTGCTCTCGCCCGCCAAGGTCGCCAAGGTCAAGGCGTTCGCCCGCGCCGCGCGCGTCCGGGGCCCGCGCAAGTGCTGGTGCCCGAAGCAGTGCGACGCCGTCGTCGACCTCGCCGCGGGCGCCCGGTGCCCCGAGTGCGACGTCGCCGTCTGCCCGGACTGCCGCCAGGAGGCGCACGACGGGCCCTGCGCGGACGCGCTCGCGGGCCGCGACGCGGCCGTCTGGCGCGACAAGTGGCAGCGGTGCCCGGACTGCCGGAATTTGGTCGAGAAGAGCGCGGCCTGCGACCACATGACCTGCCGCTGCGGCGCCCGCTTCTGCTACAACTGCGGCGCGCGCGGCCACGGCTGCCCGCTCGAGTGCCGCCGCGCGCGCGTCTTCGACCCCAAGGAGGAGGACCGGCCGAAGAACGCCGCGCCGCCGCGCCGCGACGACGAAGACTACTGAGTTGACCCCGCGACGACGACGACTACTGAGTTTCCCTAACCACCCCCTGTGTGTGAATTACGCCGCGCGGCGTCGCTTCGGGGGCGGACCGTCGTCCGCCGCGCAGCGCGCGCAGGCGCAGACGAAATGGAAGGACGCGTGGAGCTCCGCGCGCCGCTGGCGCGTCGACCGCACGTCGCCCAAAGCCGCGACGTAGCACAGCGTCAGCGCCTCGCCGGCCGCGACGGCCCGCGTTGTCTGCACGTACAGCGCCCCGCCGTCGCAGAAGAAGGCGCAGTTGTGGTCGCCGCAGCTGTGGTTCATCATCGCCGCGAGCGGGAACATGCCGGTCGCGTCGCTCGCGTCCATCTCGAAGGCGTTGCTCAAATACGCGCCCGCGACGGCGTCGCCGGCCGCGTCGCGGCACAGGTCGCGCAGGAGCGACGTCAGCGCCGCGTCGCGTCGGTCGCGCGCCGCGGCCGCGAAGGCGGCGGCGTTCGCCGCCTTGTCGCCGGCGTCGTCGATCGCGAGCACGGGCCGCTCCGCGAATAAAAACTCGTCGGCGGCGAGCGGCCGCGTCGCTTCGAGCCCGCGGCCCGTCGACGTCGCCACGACGCGCACGGCGCGGCACCCGAAGTTCGCGCAGTAGGACGCGACGCTGGCGCAGCGCGCGAGCTTCGACGCGCGCGGCGGCTCGACGCAGGCGCGCGGCTTCACGGCGATGAGCTTCGAGAGCGCGGCGCGCAGCGCCGCCTCGAAGGCCGCGTCGTCGCCCATCGCTCGCGGTCGATACTTCGTCCTACGCCAGCTGCGAAGGCGGCGATTTGTTGCTAGCGATCAGACGTCCTACGGCAGCTGCAAAGGCAGCGATTTATTGCTAGCGGTGACGTCCTACGCCAGCTGCGAAGGCGGCGATTGTAGCGGTCCCATGGCTGTCGTCGAAACACAGCAACATCGATGCACTGTGTTCACCATCGAGTGCACTGTGTCGGGGCAGCCCATCGATCGAGCCCCTAGCGCGCGCGCGGTTGGCGCCGTCCGCGCGCGGCGCGGCGCGACGATGGCCGACTGGGAGGTCGACGACGACGACGTCGAGGGCCTCGAGGAGTTCGACGACCTCTACAAGGAGGACGACGCCGAGGAGGCCGTCGAGGTCGCGGAGGAGGCGGCGGACGCGGGCCCCCAGGTCGACATCTCCAAGATCACGTCGTCGGCGGAGCGCAACATATTGAGCAAGCGGAACCGCATCTGGAGCGTGCACGCCGTGCTGCGGCCGCGGCGCGCGCTGCCCCACGACGCATCGGACGACTGGGTCGAGCGCTACTTCCCGGAGCACCTCGCGGATTTCGCGAACCCGAAGCTCAACCGGGAGGCGCTCGGCGCGCTCCAGAGCTGCGCGCAGAAGAAGGAGCTGCAGAACTTCGTGGTCCACGGCCCGCGCGGCGCGGGCAAGACGGCGGCGTGCCTCGCGTTCCTCCGGGGCTTCGCGGCCGACGACGGCTCCGCGAAGAGCAAGCGGTCGCGGGGCAAGAAGGCGAAGCAGCAGCGCGCGAGCGGCGGCGCCTACCCGACGCTGCGCCTGAGTTCCGCCGACGCGAAGACGGCCGGCGACCTCGAGAAGAAGCTCAAGGCCTTCGTCCGCGAGGCGGAGCGCGTCAACGGCGAGGGGTCGACGAAGTTCGTCGTCCTCGACGGCATCGACTCCTTGACGCCCCACGCGCAGCAGGGCGTCTACCACAACATGATCTCCTACGACAAGACCGTGGGCTTTTTATTCACGGCGCTGAACAAGGACCGCATCATCGACAAGTTCGCGAAGCGCTGCGCGATCTTGCCGATGCGGCGCCTCGACAAGGGCGACGCGCTCGGCGTCTTCCTCAACGTCGCGTCGCGGGAGCGCGTGGGCTACGAGCACCGCGGCGCCGTCATGCTCTTCGAGCACGCCAAGGCGGGCCGCGGCGAGCTCGGGCGGGCCGTGCGGAGCCTGCAGCGCGTCTTCGCGAAATGGGAGTACGCGTCGTACGTCAACGTCTGCAACAGGGCAGCAAAAGGGTGATTCAACGTCGCTTCAACGTGAGTCCGCGCGCGCGCGTTCCGGAAACAGCACCCACGCTTCGAAAGCGCTCCGAGAGATGATCGCTCGTCCAAACATCAGCCGAAACGAGCGGAAAACGACCGAGATAGGAGCCTTTGAAGTTGGGAATTTCGCACCCTTTTGCTGCCCAGGTCTGCAAGGAGTTCGCGCCCGACGCGTTCAACGCGAAGCGCAAGATCGCCGCCAAGGCGGCGCTGGGCGACCCCATCGACCGCTGCGCCGTCTGCACGCTGCGGCCGCCCTGCCAGCACGTGTCGGAGCAGGAGCTCGCGACGCGGGGCCTCGCGCGCCGCGCGCAGCTCCCCGAGCGCGACGACTCCATCGACTGCACGAACTTTGTCAAGTGCGGCTCCTGCCGCGTCTTCAACGAGTTCGGCCACTGCTCCCTGGACCACCCGTCGACCCTCCACTGCGTCGTGCTCCCGCCCCACCGGTGCCCGCAGTGCACGCTCGTCTGGCCCTGCCAGCACTGCTCGTTCTCCGGGAGCCGCAACCGGCTCATCGAGTCGTGCACGCTCGTCGCCCAGTGGGTGCCCCACTACCGCGACGACCGGCCCACGCTCGACGTCGCCGCGAAGAAGCACGAGTCCGTCGCGGACGTCGTCGTCGACCTCGACGCGCTCGACGGTGCCGTCGACGACCTCGTCGCGCGCGTCGCCGCGGCCGAGGCCTTCATCGCGGGCACGATGTGCATCGACGAGGCCGTCTACCGCAAGCGGCGCAAGGAGGTCCACGACGACCACGACGCCATCACGTCGAAGATCGGCAAGTTCCTCCCGGAGCAGCCGCCGCTCAACGACGACGGCAAGTTCGCGTTCCCGCCGGACCCGCTCCGCCTCGCCCTCGAGTACCTCCTCAAGCTCGGCGAGAGCCCGCCGGCCAAGGACGACGGCCCGAAGAAGAAGGCGGGCATCCCCAAGCAGCGACGGCGGTAAACCTGTTTTGCTTTCTTCATGTTGACTTCAGCATGAAGCGAAATCAAATCCGAGCTGTGGCAAGAGGTGGTGGGCGTCGTAACAGTGTCGTCGGCCGCAGCCATGCTCTCGCCGCGCATCGACCCGTCGACCTTGGTCGTGCACGCGCGCGAGCTGCGGACGACGCGCGCGGAGCGGCACCGGGCCTGGTGCGCCAAGGCCGACGCCGAGAGCCGCTTGGCGTCGCTCAGCGCCGAGTGCCAGAAGCTGCGGCGGCGCGACGTCGCGCGCGTCAAGGCGCTCCGGTCGACGCTCCGGCTCCTGGAGATCGCGAACGAGGGCAAGGTCGCCGCGGAGCGCGCCGCGCGCGAGCACAAGGCCGCCGCGCGCAGGGCGTCGGCGCGGTCCCGGGTCGCCGGGGGCGGCGCGCGCGACGCCGCGCCCGGCCGGTGCCGCGACCTCGAGGCGCGCTGCGCGAGCCTCGAGGACGCGCTGCGGCGGAAGGAGCACCGCGAGCAGGTGCTCGAGCGCGCGCTCGGCGCGGCCGAGGACGGCGGCCTCGCCCTGCGGCTCGCGGAGGAGACCGTGAAGACGCGGCGCCTCGCGCTCGAGCTCGACGGCGCGCTCGGCGAGCTGCGGAAGGCCCGGGCGGACGCGTTCGCGACGCAGGAGAAGCTCGACGAGACGCGCCGCGCCGTCGCGCTCCTCTCGGGCGACGGGCCCGCGCCGGCGGCGGCGCCGAGCCCGAAATACGCGCGGCGGCCGCCCGCGGCGCCGCCGCCGCCGCCCCCCGCGGCGGACGACTCGCCGGAGCCCCGGGGCCGCGAGGTCCGCGCGCCGCCGCCGCCGACGCCGCCGCGCGGCGTCGGCTTCGACGCGGCCGGCACGCCGGGCCGCGCGTCGGCGCGGCCGCCGCGCGGCGCGCTGCGGACGCCGTCGTCCGCAGCGTCGTCGCCCGCGTCCGTCGGGACCTACTCGGCCTACGGCCGGGACCCGGCGCTCCACACCATCGACGACGAGGGCGACGACGAGCCCGACGAGGAGGCGTTCGGCCAGATCGAGTTCGGCGTCCGCGCGGCCGCGTCGCCGAAGCCCCTCGACGCGACGGGGACCCTGTCCCTCGAGGAGCTCGCGGGCCTCGTGATCTAACGTACTAGGCTAGCTTGCGTTGGACGACGGCCGCGGCGCCGTCCGCCTCGTACTCCTGGCGGCTGATCCAACTCCTCGAGAAGGTCGACAAGCTGGCCATGACCGAGCAGCCGATCCACGCGGACATTTCGCGCTCCGGCGGCGCGATGACCTTGACCATCATCTTATCACCCCCAGGCGTGGCGCGTCCTGTCGCGCGCGCGGATGCCGAGTTTGGCGACGTACTCCTCGGGGTCGTAGGAGACGCACCTCGTCGTGTTCTCGAGCGGCGTGCCGCGCGTGGTGAAGCACGCGTTCGCGACCTGGGCAGCACAAGAGTGATTCAACGTCGCTTCAACGTGAGTGTTCCGCGCGCGCGCGTTACGAGAAAAGCATCCACGCGTCGAGGCCGTTCCGAGAGATGATCGCTCGTCCAAAACTCAGCCGAAACGAGTGGAACACGGCCGAGATCGGAGCCTTTGAAGTTGGGAATCTCGCTCTCTTGTGCTGCCCTGAATCGCGACGGTGATGTTGCCGCCGTCGAAGGCGAAGACCTGCGCGTCCCGGCGGCCCGCGAGGGAGCGGTGGTAGAGCGCGTCGATGAGGTTCGGCGTCGCGTGTCGGGAGCACGTCGCGCCGCGCTTCCGGAAGGTCCAGTCCGGGCATCGCGCGTCGACGCGCGCGCAGTCGAGGGCGACGCCGGGGAGCCGCCTCGCGAGGTCGTGCTTCGAGCCGTGGAGGGCCTCGTTGTAGGTGAGCTCGCTCCAGACCTCGCCGCGGTAGTCGATGCAGCCCGCGTCGTCGGCGAGCTCGAGGATCGTGTGGAAGAGGCTGAACTGGTCCTTGAAGGTGCAGCGGTTCGCGAACCAGCGCGCGAAGAACGCGCGGCCCGCGACCGAGTCGCGCGCGTAGAAGTGCGAGCTCCGGACCTGCCAGCGGAACGCGGCGACCTTGGCGGGGCCCGAGGGCGCGTCGTAGTTGAACGTCACGTCCGACTCGCCCCGCGCGTGCTCGTCCAAGACGTCGCCGCCGACGACCCAGGGATGCGCGACGGACGTGTCGAGGTCCGCGTAGTACGCGCCGCGGATCGACGGCTCGCCGAGCGCCGCGAGCGTCGCGACGATCTTGATGTGGTGGTTCGAGACCCGGCCGTCGTCGAGCGCGCCGTACTGGCGGCCGCGCTCGTCCCGCGCCATCGCTCCGTCGTAGAAGGAGTAGCCGTGGGCCGGCCGCGCGTCGACGTCTTTTTTTTTTTTTGACCTTTGAGGCGCCGCCACGTGCGCCCGGAGGACGCGCCGCCCCTCGGCGGCGGACCGGGCCATGCCGCGGGCCCAGGCCGCCTGCTTGGACTCGAAGCACGCCCGGAGCGTCGGCCGCTGGACCGCGCGCGGCAGGTCGCCGACCCAGACGAAGGGCCGGAGGCCCGCGTCCGTCGCGTACAAGAGCTTGTTCAGCAGCAGCGGCCAGAGCCGGAGGAGGTAGGCCGGCGAACTCGCGACCATGAGCAGCGCGACGTCGGGAAAGTCGCGCCCGTCGCCGCCGCCGCCCGGACGGTACTCGCAGACCGCCGGCCGCGCGGCGAAGCGCGCCGCGGCGGCGGCGGCCGACTCGGCGCCGGCGTCGACGGCGAGGCGGCTGCCGTCCGCGAAGACCCAGGTCAAGCCCGGGGGCGCGCCCGACCCGTCGAGGCCGACGCGGTCGATCTCGATCGTGCACGCGACGTCGATGGGGCCGAAGCCCCGGAGCCACTCGCCCTCGGCTCCGGCGCCGCCGCGCGCCCCGTCGCCGCCCGTCGCCCACGCGCGCGCGTAGGCCTCCAGCTCCGACGCCTCGGCCGCCGCCGCGTCACAAATGGGCACGAAGCTCAGACAGAAAGCAAGCGCCCACGGCAAGCTCCTCCACCGCGTCATGCTCGGACAGGATCTCGAGGTGGCGCGACGAGGCCGGCCGGCCGAGAGACGAGCGACGACGACGCGGCGTGCCAACCCGTCGCTTCAGATCGAGGCCTCCCGCGGCTTTTTTACCTGATGACGACGTGTGGCGATAAAATTTTTGTTTGTGGCAGTGCGCAGCCTCTCTTGGGGATCGAGCCGGGCTGGTCTTCGCAGAAGTCTCGCAGACGGCCTCAACGGACCAAGGGGCTGGGCAGTGCGGCATCTCCGACCGCCGCGGCAGAGATACCCCGGGGGCGCGGCCCCCGCCTCCTCCCGGGAGTCCTACGTTGAGAGACGCATCCAGGCGCCAGTTGGGCTCTCGGCAAGAGTCGACGCCCCGAGTCGTGCGCAAATCATCAGGGGGGTCTGTACGAGACGCCGCGGCTCCCGAAAAAACAAAGCGAGCCGCCCCTACGAGGAGCCGCATGCACAGGAGCGCACACAGGCTGCCTTGAGGTCCCGCACGGACTTTAGTAGCCCCCGAGGTTCGCCTCCTGCCCGTCGTAGAGGCTCTGCTCCTTTGGCGCGCGCGTGATGAACTGCTGCGCGGTCCACTTGTCGCCCTCCACCACGGGGCAGGCGGCGTGCCGCGCGTTGTCCTCCTCGCGGCCGTCGGGCGTCAGCGAGTAGAAGAGGAGGGCCGCGCCTTTCGCGGGTCGGATTTTCAGGACCGCGTCGTCGTCGCAGACGCGCGCGAGCTCCGAGACCGTCGGCCCGCCGTGCTGGTGCGCGAGCGCGGCCGCGCGCGCGGCGGACGCGCCCGGCCGCGCGATCTTCGGAAAGACGGTCTCGCCGCCGGCGACGACGTCGCTGAGGTACATGATGAGCGTCGCGGCGCGCCAGGGGCCGTCGACGTGCTCCACGTAGAACGACGCGTTCCGCGCGGGCTCCGCGGCGTAGTGGCTCACGTGGAGCTCCTCGAAGTGGTCGCTCGTGAACTTCGTCTCCCGCGCGACGCGCCGCAGGACCCGCGCGTGGACGTCGTCGGTCGTGAGGTCGACGGGCGCGTCGCAGCGCTGCGGCGTCCGGCCGGGCGTCGGGCAGAACGCCGCGCGGCCCCGGGACCCGTAGTAGACGACCCTGCTGTCGCGCGACGCCTTGCGCCCGCCGCGGACGCCGCTCTCCGCCATGTGGTGCCACCTACCAGGCATGTCGGTGACGATTTTTCATCGTTTTCCCGGTCAAAATCCCTCGAAGATCGTCACGGCCACAGGACGCCGGGTGCCACCGCGCGGCCTTGAGGAGCTGGTCGGTCTCGGGGTTCGTCAGAAAGCGCGGGTAGAAGAAGACGCGCGGCGACCGGCTGAGCAGCTGCGGCTCGAGGACGAGGGCCTCGTCCTCGTCGCACGTCTCCCCGTAGGCGGGCTCCGCGACCGCCCGCGCGGCCTCCGGCGCCGGCGGAGATTGCGTCGCCGCGTCGCCGCGGCTCAGGTCCGTCGACGAGAAATAGACCGCGTCGGCGCCGGCGTCGGCCGGAGCGCCGCGCGGGTTGCACGCGCAGAGTTTCGTGCCCCAGCGCGCGGTGCAGGCCGCGGACTCCCACGGCGTCTCGTCGCAGACGCAATCGGCGTGGCTCGTGGCGTCGCAGGCGCGATGGCAGACCTCGCCCTGCGACGCGCAAAAGGCCGCGCAGGTTCCACGCTCCTGGACGCCGAAGACCCTGCTCTGGTTCAACGTGGCGCAGAGCGTCATATCCTCCGCCTCCGCAACGATATGGGCGAGCAGCAGCAGCCCGGCGAGAGAGCGTCGGGCAGCTCCCATGGCTGGCGAATGGATCCGACTGCAAAAGCGACTGCAACGAGGTTGTTGAAGTCGATCGGGACTCTGAATAGGTCGGCAGCACTCACGAATAATCAAAACAGGCGCACTTAGGACGAGCGGGAGGAGCCGGACGCGTACTTGCCGACGCTGTAGGTGCGCGACGAGAGGGAGCCGTCGTGGGAGCGCCGGGAGCGGGACGAGCCGAGGGACGCGGAGCTCGCGGCCGGGCTGGGCTCGGGTCGCCGCGAGGGCCGGGAGCTCGCGGAGCCCTGGCTGTACTCGGAGAACTCGAGGCCGTCGTCGTCGCCGAGGTAGCGGTCGTCGAGGGGCGTGTCGGGCTCGCGGAGCCGGTCGTCGTCGAGGCCGCGGATCTTCACCTCGAGCGCGGGCCCGTCGACGGCCGGCGTCGGCGCGGCGAGCTCGGCGCCGGGCGTCCGCGACACGTGCGTGCCGTGGTGGTGGTGGAGGCGCTGCGTCGCCGCGGGCGTCGCGGGCGTGAACGCGACGGTTTTGGGCGTCTTCGCGGCCGCGGGCCGCGCGCGGCGGTCGTCCGACGATGCGGAATTTCGCCGCGACGGGGGTTCCGCCGGCGCGGCGAGGGGCACCTTGACCTGACGCGCCTCGATGCGCGTGAGCATGGACCCGTAGAATACCGCGAGCGGCCGCGACGACGCGAGCGCGCGCTCGAGCTCGCGCCGCGCGACGTCCAGGGCCCGCCGGTGCGCCTCCTCCAGATTCCGCGCCACGCGCGGCGCCGCCTTCACCGCCGACGCGTTGGCGTAGGCGTCCGCGAGCTTCATGTGCGCCGCGAGCGCCGCGCGCGTCGCGTAGAGCTCGTCGTCGGTCTGGACGGGCGTCAGCGCGGACGCCGCGGACGCCGTGGACCCGGCGTCGAGCACGCCGTCGTCGCCGCCGCGCTGCGTCGCCAGCAGGAGCGCCTCCGTCGCGCGGTGCTCCGCGACCGCGCGGTCCTGGGCCGCGGCGCCGAGCTTCGCCTCCAGATCCCTCAGCTTCGCCCGGAGGCCGCTGTTCTCGAGGCGGCACTCGTCCATGCGCTTCTTGAAGAGGGCCGCCTCGGCGGCGCGCTTCGTCTCGTTCTTCTGCGCGGCCGCGCGGCGGTCGCGCTCGCCGCCGATCTCGGCTTCCACGTGGTCCGCGCGCGCCTTGTGGTTGAGGGCCTCGCGGCTCAACCGGTCCGCCCGCAGGTCGATCTCGACCTGCTCGACGTCGCGCTTGCCCCGCTCCGTGGCGAGGGCGCGCTCGAGGGCGCCGACCTTCTCCGTGAGCGCGAGCTTGCTCGCCTCGTCCGCGGCGCGCTCGTCCGCGCGCGCGTCCGCGGACGCGCGGAGCTCGTGGTGGAGCGCGTCGACGTGGCCCTGGAGGATCTCCGCTTTTGCGGTTGCGACGCGGGCCTCGTCCTGGGCCGCCTTGAGGTCCTTGGCGTCCGCGCGCGCGGCGCGGCCGACCTCGTCGACGCGCCTTTTCGCGGACCGCGACTCGTCGGCGAGCGCGCGGCGGTGGTCGAGGCGCAGGGCCTCCCGCTCCTTGACGACGTCCCGCTCGCGCGCGTCGTACTTGGCCTCGAGCTTCTCGCGGAGGCGCACGGCGTCGCGGAGCGCGCGCTCCGCGGACGCGACGCGCGCCTCGGAGTCGTGCTTCGCGCCGACTTCAGCTTTCGCGGCGCGGCCCGCGCGCTCGCGCTCGCTGCGCACGGCGGACTGGAGCTCGGCCTCGTTGGCCAGGGCGCTGCTCAGCTCGTCGCGGAGCACGTCCAAGTCGTGGCGGAGCGCCTCCTCGTCCGCGAAGTGCGCGGCCGTCGCGTGTTCGAGCTCGAGCCGCAGCTTCTCGACCTCGCCCTCGAGCTCCGCGGCGCGCCGCTCGCTCGCGTCGCGGGCGCTCCGCGCGTCCGCCGCCGCCTGGCGCGCGTCGCCCTCGTCGCGCCGCTCGTCGCGGAGCTTGTCGAGGGCCCGCTCCGCGGCGTACGCGGCCGCGCGGAGGCTGTCGGTCTCGCGCCGCTGCTCCGCGATGCGGAGCTCGCGCCGCGAGATGCCCACCTCCGCCTCCTCGAGGCGGTTCGTCAGCTCGCCGACCTCGCGCAGGTGCGCCGCCGACGGCAGCTCCTCCGGGCCGGACCCGTCGCGGAGCAGCGCGGGCGTCGCGCCGCCCGCGTCGTCGCCGCCGCCGTCGGCGGCGGCCTCGCGCTCGTCGCGGCGCGGCCGCGCGGCGGGCCGCGCCGCCCAGGCCTCCTTGGCCCGCGCCTCGGAGCGCTCGGCGCGCTTCGCGAGGGCGTCGTTCCGGCGCGTCGCCGCCGCCAGCTCGTTCTGCAGCTCCTCGCGCGTCTTCGGCCGGAACCGCTTCGGCCCGCCGAGCGTGCGGCAGATGACGAGCTCGTTGACCTGGTCCGCGCTCAGGGCGCCGCGGGGGCCCTCGACGAGGGCCTCCTTGAGCACGTCGACGGCCAGCTCCTGCTCGCGCAGCTTCCCGCGGAGCTCCTGGATGAGCTGCGACCGCCGGTGCTCCTTCGACTGCGCCTTGAGCTTCTTGATCTCGTCCTTGTGCGACCCGATGCTCTTCATCAGCGTGGCGACCTTGCGCTCGTGGAGCGCCGCGAGGGCCTCGAGCTTCAGCGTCGTCTCGCCGTCCATGAGCTCGCCCTCGAAGAGGTCGAGCACGCTCGGCGACGGCGCCGTCTCGCCCGGCGTGCTCTCCGGCGCCGCCTTGCGGGGCGGCAGCCCGTTCCGCGACAGGGCCCGCGCGGGCATGGTCGCGGCGCCGACGACGCGCGAAGGACCGCTCGAGCCTCGCGCCGCTGTCGTCGGAGACGACGAGCCTCTCCGCGGAGAGGCAGCCCGAGGCCGGTTTGCCGGGTTTTTGATTTTAAACCTGGGCTAAACGTGTAGGGAAAGAAGCCAATGGTGACATACTAATAAAACGATAGAGGTGGGGGCTGCCCGCTCCGCCCACGCTCGGCGCGCCGGCATGCGCGGCGCGCGCGACTCCATCCTCACGGCGCGGGCCCAGGACCGCGAGACGAGCGAGCGGACCAAGGGCGTGCTCCAGACGCGGTTCCCGCTGCGCAACGAGGTCAAGCAGAACGACGAGTGGACGCCCTTCGACCACAACGGCTGCCCGCGGCGGTCGCCCCGGGGCTCGCAGCTCGCGACGTCCGGCGCGCTGAGCCTGTCGCCGCGGCTGCCGCGGGACCTCGCCGAGCAGCGGCGGCGCGACGAGTACGTGCCCCTGGGCCCCCACGTGGCGCTGCCCGACGAGGCGAGCCTCCGGCGCCGCGCGCCGCGGCACCACACGACGGAGCTCGGGTCGCCGCCGAAGCCCGGGCTCTGCGGCCTCGAGGGCCAGGGGCGGGCCCACTACGACACGAGGGACACGGGCATGGCCAAACTCGTCGGCAACGACGAGCGCGTGCCCGCGTACGCGGAGGTGGGCCGCTTCGGCGGCCGCGGCGAGCGCGCGCACGTGAGCCACGCGGGCCAGGACTCGTCGGTGGACGAGATCGTCTTCGGGCGGGACATGGACGGGTCCGGCGTCGTGCTCGACGTCGCCGAGGTGAGCCGCAAGGGCTGCGCGGGCCGGCGGACCATGTTCTCGTCGTCCGTGGACACGATCGTCTTCGGCCGCGACCAGGACGGCGACGGGTCCACGGAGCTCGGGGGCAAGATGGAGAACCCGGTCTGGACCGAGGTGTCCTCGTCCAAGAAGGTCTTCCGGGGCGCGCTCGACGCGTCCGTGGACTCGATCGTCTTCGGCCGCGACACGGACGGGTCCGGCGCGGTGCTCGACGGCGAGAAGGACATGGCGCCCGAGGGCACGGGCTCCTACTTCTGCACCAAGGGCATGGACCACTACAGCAACCGCGACCTCGGCGCCAAGCACCTGGCGCACCGCACGCCCGTGCCGTCCGCGGCGCAGATCGTGCTCGCCTGTGTGGAATTCAAATCTTCAACCCGACTTCGATGTGAGCGTATGCGACAGTTTCGACGCAATCTCTTCGGCCGTGCTTCGAGAACTCGACGAGAGCAATCGATTCGTCCAAAAATCAGCCGAATCGACTTCGATTTGACCGAGCTAGAGAATTCTCAAGTTTGGTCAGGACCACCCAAACCAGTGGCTGAATTCCACACAGGTGCTCGCGCACAACCAGAACGCGAAGCTCCACGCCTATGGGGGCGGCGGCCGCCGCGTGCGCTGGGACGAGACGGTCCCCTACCACGCGGCGCCCGTGCGCGACGAGTCCCAGTTCCGGCCCGAGGGCCGCCTCTTCTAAAGGAGCGCTCTCCCTTCGTAGAGCGCGTTCCCCGGCGGGTGCGACGAACTTCGCGACGAGTCCCAGTTCCGGCCCGAGGGGCGCTTATCCAGGCGGGCGCGGGGTACCTCGGCGGCCCGAGGGGCGCCTCTTCTAAAGGAGCGCTCTCCCCTTAGTAGAGCGCGTCCCCCGTGCCCTCCTCGACGAGGCTCCGCTCGTCGCGGAGGCGGTTGAAGTCGGCGATCTCGCTGAGCGCGAGGTCGCCGTAGTCGGGCTCGTCCTCGTCGACGAGGCGCCCCCACTCCGACGCCGGCAGGGGCGCGTCCGGGTCCGTCGCCGCGCGCGCCTCGGCGAGGACGGCCTGGAGCAGCGCGAGCGCGCGCTCCCAGTCCGCGGCGTCGAGGTAGCCCTCGCGCGTCGCCGCGGGCCGCACGAGCCGCTCGATCTCGTTGAGCCGCGCGAGGACGCGCTCGAGGGCCTCGTCGACGAACTGCTGGCCCGCGGCCTCGTCCTGTCGCCGCCGGTCGTCGCCGTCGCCGTCGGCCCGCGCCGCGGCCGCCTGGCGGGCCAGCGCGTGGGGGCTCGCCGTGGCCATGGTCTTCAGGCGGAGCGCCGCGGGCCGCATGGGGCTGTCGACGAGCTGGAGCTGCTCGGACACGCGCCGCTTCGCGAGGAGCAGGTCGTCGTAGTACTCGGCCGCGAGGATCTCCTCCTTGTTGACCTGTGTGGAAATCAAATCTTCAACCCGACTTCAATGTGCGCGTAATCGAACGATTTGGACCAGACTCTTTCGCTGTGCTTCGAGAACTCGACGAGAGCAATCGATCCGTCCAAAAATCAGCCGAATCGACTTCGATTTGACCGAGATAGAGAGTTCTGAAGTTTGGTGGGGACCCCCCAAATTGATTTCCACACAGTTGTTGACGATCGCGTGGAAGTTGAGCAGGAGCGGCACGAGCGAGTCGAAGATGACGTGGGTCTGCGCGAGGAAGGACGCCGCGAAGGCGTCGCCCGAGGAGATGAGCAGGCCCGGCGGGTAGAGCACCTTCTCGAGCGCCCAGCTCGTCGCGCCGCCGTCCTTCGCGCTGAGCGACGGCATGCGGGGCCGCTGGCCCTTGCGCGTCGTGTTCGTCTTGTAGAGCGCCTCCGTCGCCGCGACGTGCTGGAGGAAGACGTCGCGCCGCTCCGCGAGCGGCGCGAAGAGCGACAGGTGCGGCGTCACCGCGCCGATGCGCTCGAGGCGGCTGAGCTGGTAGTCGGACGCGAAGAACGTGAGGTGCAGCCCCGCCGTCGCCGAGAGCTGGGGCACGACGAAGCGCTCGAGCAGGGCCTGCATGCCCACGCGCGTCGTCACGGGCGTCGGGCTCACGACGAGCGACTCCGGGTCGAGCGGCACGCCGAGCGCCTCGCAGAGGTGGAGGAAGTAGCTGCACGCGACCGTCGCGTCGTCCCCGCAGCCCTCGGCCTTGGACGCCGCCGACGCCGTGAAGACGACCTGGTCCGGGTCGAGGCGCCGCTCCAGGAGCGCGCGCGCGAGCGCGGAGCACCGCGCCGCGTGCTCGACGGAGATGCGCCCGGAGCAGAGCGCCTTGCCGAGCACGACGGCGACGATGAACTGGGGCCGCTTCGCGGAGGCCAGGGCGCTCCGCCGCCCGGAGAGGCCCTCGAGCTGCTCGAGGTAGACGTCGCGCGACCCGTCCATCATGTTCTGCTCGGGGCTCCGCTTCCCGCGGTCCTCGGCCTCGCGCTGCCGCGTCAGGTGCTTCTCCTCGACGATCCCCATGAGCTCCTGCATGGACGGCACGCGCCCGCCGTCGGGCTTCTTCAACCCGTCGGCCTTCGCCGCCTTGGGCGCCTTCGCCTCGCCATTCTTGCTCGGATGCGCCTCCATCCATTCCTCGTCCCAGGATTTTTCAGTGGGCCAGATTCGGAGGGATGTCGCGCGGGTGCGTCGCGGCGCTGGAGACCAGCCGGAGGCCACCGCCAGGAATACGAGCGCCGCGCGCATGGTTTGTGGCAGAGAAGCCGGCGGAGTCAGTACGCACGGCTGCTCATATCGTCGGCCGCAACTTCGAGCGGGCGGCAACATGCAACCACAAGGTCGACGTTGGCCTCAGACGCGTCCGTGGGCGACGCGTCCGAATTCCTAGCACGTGATGGCGCGGTAGCGCTTGGCGCCAGCTGTGCTCGCCACAGTCAATAGTCCGCTCGGGGAGCAAATGGCCGACTATTTCGCGTCGGTAGACGTACGGACGGGTCATTTTGCCCCGGCTGGTCCCGAGCTCGCCTGTGTCCCGGGCCCACGGGGAGCATCTCGTTCGAGAACCATCTCCCGCGCCGCCGCCTCGTCCAAGACACCATGGCCGACTACGAAAACAATGAGGAGGAGGAGGAGGAGACCTTCGGCACGGAGGTCCAGGAGCGCGCCATGTTCCTCCTCGACCTGACGACCGCGGACCTCCTCGAGCAGACCGGCGCCGCGACGTTCGAGACGCGGCTCGAGGCGGCGATGAAGATCGTGCTGGCCTTCATCAAGGGCCGCCTCGTCGGCGGCGGCAAGGACGTCGTCGGCGTCGCGTTCTGCGGCGACGGCTCCGGGTCCACGGACGGCTGCTGCGCGCTCGCGCTGGGCGCGCCGACCGCGTCGGGCGCGCGGCCGCTGCAGGACGCGATCGCCGCGGGCGTCTTCGCCGACGCGGGCAAGGTCAAGGCCTGGCTCGCCGCCGCCGACGCCCACGCCGTGAAGAGCGAGGAGGGGTCGCTGCGCAACGGCTTCCACGCGTGCCAGCGCGCGTTCGACGGCCACGGCGCGCGCGACGCGAGCTCGTCGATAATCTACGTCTTCTCGGCGGCGGCCGAGCCCTACGCGTCGCCCGCGGAGCGCGACGTCTGCCTGACCTTCGCCCAGGACGCCGCGGACGTCGCGCTCGAGGTCCACGTCGCGCACTTTGGGCTCGACGACGAGCTCGACGCGTTCTGGGGGCCGCTCCTCAAGGCGAACGCGCCGCCGGACAGGCGCGGCGCGCCCGCGGACTGGCTCCGCAACGCCTACCCCGCCGCGGGCGCCGAGTCCGTCGAGTCGCGCGCGCAGACGCGCACGTCCGCGACGCGGGGGCGCCTCGCGGAGAAGCTCGCCCTCGCGCTGCCCGGCGGCGACGGCGCCGCGGCGATCCGCGTCGCGCGGCGCACGCTCGCGCGCGCGCCCGGCGCGCTCGCCCAGAAGAAGGTCGACGCGAACACGGGCGAGCTCGTCACGACGACGTCGCAGGATTTCGACGCGACGACGGCGTCGATCCTCGACGCGTCCGCGATCCGGACCTACGTGCCCCTGGGCCCGCTCGCGGACGCGGCCGAGGCGGACGTCAAGCGCGCGAACCGGTGCTACGTGGACCGCGCGCAGCTCAAGGAGTGCGACGACGCGTCCGACGTGCTGGGCTTCGGCGACGGCGAGGTCGCGCTCCTCGGCTTCGCCGCGCGCGGCGACGTCTTCCCGGGCGGCGCGGAGCTCGTGAAGACGACGCACGCGTCGCTCCTCGCGCCCGACGACGACCTCGGGCCGGGGTCGTCGCAGGTCCTGTCCGCTTTGGTCGAGGCCATGCGCGAGGAGCGCGTGGTCGGCCTCGCGCGCTACGTGAAGCGCAAGCACGCGGCGTGCCCGCGCCTGGTCGTCCTGGCGCCGGACGACCGGGGGCTCCTCTTCCACGAGCTGCCCTTCGGCGACGAGCGCCGCGACAACCGCGGCGCGCCGGCCTCGCTGAAGCGGCCCCGCGAGGACGAGGGCGACGACGCGGCGGAGACGGCGGCGGCGCTGGACGCGGCGCTCGGCGCGCTCGTCGCCGCGCTGAGCGGCAAAAGAGAGCGAAATTCCCAACTTCAAAGCCTCATATCTCGGCAGTTTTCCACTCGTTTCGGCTGATTTTTGGACGAGCGATCATCTCTCGGAACGGTCTCGAAGCATGGATGCTTTTTCCGGAACGCGCGTGCGCGGAACACTCACGTTGAAGCGAACTTGAATCACTCTTTTGCTGCCCAGGTCGCGGCGCTGAGCGGCCGCGCGCGCGACGGCGGCCCCGCGGACCCGGCGCGCGTCTTCAACCCCGCGCGGAGGAACCACTTCGCGTTCCTCGAGTCCGTGGCCTTTGGGCTCGACAGCGAGGGGCCGGACTCCGTCGTCCAGCGCGCGTGGCGCGACGGCGACGCGCAGCGGCCCGCGAGCGACGACGCGCTCGACGGGCGCGTCGCGGCCGTCGAGGCCGCGCTCCCCGCGGGCGGCGTCGCGGCGCGCGCGGCGAAGAAGCCCAAGCCGGCGGCGGCGGCCCGCGTGCCCAAGGAGCTCCTCGTCGACCCGCTGAACCGCGACGCGCTCAAGGCCAACTTCACGGCGCCGGCGCTCAAGGCGACGGCGGAGGACCTCGGGCTGGCCAAGTCGGGCACGAAGGACGCGATCATCAACCGCATCGCGCAGTTCCTCGCCGACGGGGGGCAGGTGCCGCCCTAGGGAAGGCGCCTCGTAAAGCAGCTCACCGCGACTAGGGGCGCACGTTAAGCAGCTCGAGGAGGCGCCCGAGGACGTCGTCGCACCGCGCGCCGATTCTGAGCCCGGCCGACGCGTCGAGGGGCGTCGGCTGGAGGTTGACCACGACGTGCGCCTTCGACGTCCGCGGGAGGTCCGCCGCCGGGGCGACGCGGCAGCTGCTCCCGAGCACGAGGCAGAGCTCCGCGGCCTCGGCCTCGGCCTGGGCGCGCTCGAGCGTCGGCGCGTGCAGCGACTCGCCGAAGTTGACGATCGTGTCCTTCAGCGGCGCGTCGTCGCAGCATTCGCAGGCGCGCCGCGTGCAGTGACAGAAAGCACGGCGTGGAGCAGTGCGGGCAGTCCTTCGCCGCGCCCTTTTTGAGGGTGGGCACGTCCGCGAGCCGCGTGTGTTGGACGAGCGCGTCGCGGACCGTCTCGGCGCCGCAGCGGTCGCAGCGGTCGACCCAGACGTTGCCGTGGAGCTCGCTCAGGGCCTCGCGCGGCAGACCGCCGCGATGGTGCAAGCCGTCGATGTTCTGCGAGATGACGTGTTTCACTATGCCCGCGTCGCGGAGCGCGGCGATCGCCGCGTGCGTCCTCGCCGGCAGGGCCGCCGCGAGGTCGTGGTCCGGCGACGCGCGCGTTTCGTCGTCCTCCTCGTCCTCGGTGATTCGTTCGAGCTTCTTCGTCTCGTCGTCCTTGAGCGTCCAGACGCCCGGCCCCGACGCGAGCTTCGTGTTCATTGGCGACCGGTAATCCTACGGGAGAAGCGTCGCGCGGCGGTTTCGGGGAGCGTCGGACGCGGCGCGACGCGCGGGTATGCCGCAGGCCGTGCTGATGCCCGCGCCCGTGAACACGACGATGCTCCCGCTGGCCCGCCGGCAGAGCTCCGCGAGCTCCCGCGTCTTCCGCTCGACGACGTCCTCTGTGTCCCACTTTTCGTCTTTGCTGCCCTCGAGCGCGTTCGCGAAGGCCGCCGCGCTGCCCTCCTTCTCCATCGCCTTGCCGACGTTGTCCGCGAGCTTCGTGAGCACCTTGTCGAAGCGGTCCTGGAAGTCCTTCCAGCGCGCCTCGAGCTGGGCCGACGCCGAGAGCGTCTCCTCGCGCTCGGCGGTGCGCGCGTTCATGTCGCGGATGGAGCTCCGCAGCGTGGCCAATGTGGCCTGGCTTGAGCGCAGGACCTCGGCGCTCCGCTCGTCCTGTTTTTTGGCGTCGCTGAGCTGCTCGCGCGCGCGGCTCAGCGTCTGGGCCGGCGTCGACATGACCTTTCGCTGGGACGGCGGCCCTCACACGCTGTAGGCACGACGCTCCGCACCGATGGGGCAGCCCCAGGAGAGGACCATGCCTCGAAGCTTCGGATGCTGATGATGCTGCCTTTTTCAAGAATCGACGCTGCCCTTTGCAGCCACCACAACCACGAGCGCATCAGAATGGAGAGCAGCCCGGGCACCATGTTCCTCGTGCCGGGAAAGTTGGGCAAGAGGACGCCGCGCCTCTTCCGGCTGAGCGCCGAGGACCACGCGATTATCATCACGAAGAGCGAGGAGTCGTCGCTGGAGATCGCGCGGCTGCCCCTCGAGGAGCTCATGACGGTGACGCTCGCCCAGGACGAGGTCGACCACGAGCTGCGCGTCGAGCTGGGCACGCGCTGGTCGACCATGCGCCTCACGGCCGTCGCCGGCGGCGCCGGCGACCCGCGCGCCTTCGTCGAGGCCATCGCCGCGGCGACGGCCGCGGGCGTCCAGGAGGGCTACGAGAGCGACGCCGACGCGTCCGCGGCGGCGTCCCGTGGCCGTGACGATTTTCGAGAGAATTGGGGTGGGAAAACAATGAGCAATCGTCACCGTCGTGCTTCGTAGGTCCGCGGGCCGCGCGGCGGCGGCCATCGACGCGGAGACGCGGAGCGGCGAGGCCGCCGCGCNGCGCGGCGCTCGACGGCGCGGCCGCGGCGGGCAAGGCGGGCCGCGCGGTCCACGAGGGCCTCGTCTTCAAGCGGGGCCGCAAGCAGTCCAAGGCGAGCCGCCTCGCGGGCCTCGTGCGCAGCGGCGCCTGGCGGCCCCGCTTCGCGCGGCTCGACGGCCGGGGCACGCTCAAGTACTACGTGCAGGCGGAGCTCTTCTCCGGCGGCGCGCCGCGCGGCGAGGTCGACGTCCGCGGGGCCGTCGTGCGGCCGCTCCTGGGCGCGGCGAAGCCCCACGCGTTCCTGCTGACGCTCGCGTCGGGCGAGGACGTCGCCTTCGCCGCGGCGACGAAGGCCGAGGCCGACGCGTGGCGCGCGGTGTTGCATTTCGCCGCGGACACACCGCCCGAGGGGGCCGCGCCGGCGCCGTCCGTCGACCCGAGCCGCATCGTCGGCATCGGCGGCGGCGAAACGGTCGAGCCGAAGGCGGACGGGGCGGCGGCGCCGTCGAAGATCCGCTTCGCGCTGCCCGAAAAGGCCGAGGCGGCGGCGGAGGCCGACGCGCCGCGGCCGCAGTCGACGAGGCGCCACGTCTCCGTCGCGGACTTGAAGTCCGTCGAGTACCGCCAGGTCCTGGCCGCGGCGCGGCGGCGCGCGGCGGCGGCCGCGCGGGCCCTGGGCCACATCGCGGCGTCCGTACATTTGGACGCGGAGAGCCTGCACTACGCGGTCGTCGACGACGCGGGCCCGGGGTCCGCGGCGGCCGTGTCGTCGCGCTTCGCGGACCTCGCGCGGTCCTGCGCGGCGTTAAGCGGCGTCGCGCTGCGCCAGCTCGAGTACTCCGTGCACCTCGCGCGGTCCGCGGAGGTGCGCCTCGTCGACGCGCTCGTCGGCGAGCGGTGGCGCGGCGGCGGCACGCTGCTCAAGCCCAACTTCATGACGTCGGCGCCGCGCGCGGCGCGCCAGACCTTCCGGGGCAAGGGCACGTGGCGGGCCCGGTTCTTCGCGCTCGACGAGAAGCGGCGGAAGCTGCACTACTACCGGTCGACGAAGTACGCCGTCGTCGACTACCTCCAGAACGCGCACAGTAGCCAAAGGCTCCGCACGTCGGCCCTCATCGCCCAGTCGCCGGACGTCGCCGGCGACGCGTCGCTGGAGAACGACGAGTACGACCCCGAGTACGACCCCGAGTACGACTCGGACTCGGGCGTCGACGCGGCGGCCGCGGCCGCGCCGCCCGCGCCGGAGGGCTACGTGCTCAAGGGGACCATCGATCTGCGCGATGCCGTCGACGTGCGCTCGTCCCGCGCCCCGAAGGCGCCGCCCTTCGCGCTGGACGTCGAGACGCCGTCGCGCGTCTACACGGTCGCGCCCAGGGCAGGACAAGAGAGCGAAATTCCAAACTTCAAAGCCTCATATCTCGGCCGTTTCCCACTCGTTTTGGCTGATTTTTGGACGAGCGATCATCTCTTGGAACGGTCTCGAAGCGTGGATGCTTTTTCCGGAACGCGCGCGCGCGGAACACTCACGTTGAAGCGACGTTGAATCTCTCTCGTCCTGCCCAGGTCGCGCCGTCGACGCGCGACGACATGAAGATCTGGTACGCCGTCCTCGGCCGGCTCGTCCGCGCCGCGGCGCAGAAGCGGAGCCGCGCGGCGACGGTGGACGATAATGGTGGCGAGTCCGACGACACGGACGACGACGACGACGAGGACGCCGCCATCTACGAAGCCGCGGGCGTGCCCTCGTCGCGCTGGCTCGAGGCGCAGGCGCGGCGCGAGAGCGTCGTCGAGGACGACGACGACGACGAGGAGGTGCTCGAAGAGGAGGACGACGACGACGACGAGCTTCTGGAGGAGGACGACGACGACGAGGAGGACGCGTCGCGCGAACTGCAGGACCGCCTCAACGAGGGCCTCCGCGACGAGCTCGAGGACTCGAAGCGCCGCGTCGAGGACTTGGAGGCGGAGAAGGACGAGGCCGGCGCGCGAGCGGCGCAGCGCATCGAGGAGCTCGAGCGCGAGAACGAGCGCCTCGTCGCGGCCGCCAAGGCCGCCGCGGAGGCGGCCGCGGCGCCCGCCGCGGAGGTCGAGGCGCCCGCGGAGGACGCGGCGGCGCCGCAGGAGCAGGAGGAAGCGGCCGCGCCCCCCGCGGCCGAGGCCCGGGCCCGCGCGGAGCCGGAGCCCGCGCCGAGCCTCGGCCGCGAGCTGAGCCGGCACCTGAGCCGGCACCTGAGCCGCCACCTGCCGGCCCAGCTCAGCCAGCACCTGGGCGAGCCCGCGCCCGCGGAGGCCGCGGAACCCGCAGAGCCCGCGGAGCCCACCGAGCCCGCGCCGGCGCCCGCGGAGCCCGCGGCGCCGGCGCCGGCCGAGTCCGCGGTGTCGGCGCTCGTGCGGCGCGTGAGCGCGCTCGTCGTCGGCGAGCCCGAGCCGCGCGTCGACGTCGTGCGCCGCGCGGAGAAGGAGGCCATGGCCGCGCTGCGCGCGGCGCGGCGCGAGCTCGCGGGGCTCCGGGCCCTCGAGGAGGAGTCGCGCCGCGCCGCGGCCGCCGAGGCCGCGGCGGCCAAGGCCGAGACGGCGGCGGCCCGGGCCGAGGGCGCGCGGCGGACCGAGCTCGCGGCGCAGGCCGCGGCCGGCGAGAGCCTCGTCGTCCGCGAGCGCGGCGGCGCGGACGCGCCGCCGGCCAAGGTCGCGCGGCGCGTGAACCGCGCGCTGGACCACGGCAAGGCCGTCTTCTTCCAGTTCAAGCCCCACCGGAGCGGCGAGCGGTCCCTGGACCCGAGCCTCGGCGCCGACGACGAGGAGTTCGAGTTCGAGATCCTGAGCCCCTTCGACCTCCTCGACGACGACGACGGGTCGCGGTCGCTCTACGACGGCTACCAGGCCTGGCGCAGGCAGCACTCCATCCGCACGGAGTGGGAGGTCTGGAACGCGTCCCTCGCCGACTACATGCGCGGCCAGCAGTCGCGCTACCTCGCGTCGCTGACGCTGCTCGAGGTCGACCGCCCGAACACGTCCGTCGTCTGCGCGCTCCGCGTCCAGGACTCGCCGGCCGAGTACCCGCAGCCCGTCAAGTTCGGCGACGCGATCATCGTCTGGAGCCCGAACCGCGACAACAGCGACAAGCTCTCCTTCGCGGACCGGTCCACGGCGTCCGCGCCCGTCGTCAGCAACCTCCTCAAGTGGCTCTCGCACCACCGCGTCCTCTCCCAGCGCGTCTTCCGCACGGACGCCGCGGACACGGACCAGCAGGGGCCCCTCTCCTACGACGCCATGTACCGCAAGCTCTTCCAGAAGGCGCGCGTGCGGTGAGAGTCGAGGGACTTAAGACTGGGCTCCGGATGCGAGTCTCCACGAACTTCTCTACGAACGTCGCGCGGCGACTCGCGCTCGCCGCTCTGCTGCTCCACCGCGGCGGCGCGAACGCGCTCCCGGGGCACGCGCGCGTCCTCGCGATCTCGTGCTGC